AGCAGTACATAATTTGAATATGTCTGGAATATAGGCTGCCTAGCAGGCAGAAAGAAAGATTACATGTTTGGTTGAATAATAGGTCACAAGGTCTAGATATATATGTTCTGTATCAGAATTCTTTGTGAAGTAATATTGAAACTGCTCATAAGAGAACAATTAGATGATTTCTATTGTTAGCTAGTAGAGATATGTTTAAGAGCAGTGATGTATATTTCACTGGATTTGGTAAAATGGAGTGGATGCAGTGCCATTGCAGAAAATTTAGAAGTCACAGGTTTCAGCAAAGAGATCTTTCCCTCTGAAATGTAGCAGCATATTTGGAATAAAGGTGAAAGATTCAGTCTTGTACATTTCTAATTTTAGGTATTTATTGAAAATAGATATTATGCTACAGATCGAAATGTGGGCTATTATTTGAAAAACAAGTGCCTGGCCACTAGTAGGAAAAGTAGTCAGATCAGTGGGAGAAGGAAGCCAGAGTAAGCTTTTTAATTTCAAGATCTCTCATCCCTGAACCTTTATGCATAAGGCAAATAATAAAGGTTGATATGTGGTGAGAAAGATTTATATCTACTGTCATCTGTACTTCATTTACATTTAAAGGGCAAAAGTAAGCTGAATTACCTGAATTACAAATAGCTGTTCTAAATTGTTTTCAGCTTTAGTTTTTAATCTTTTTTTATTTTTAATTTTTTTTTGCTGTTTTTGGATTTTGTCTAGAAGGAAGTTTATTTTTATTTTAATTCCATAGTAGTAAGTCTTAGCTTTCTTTAGCAGTAGTCAAATACAATGGAATTGTTAGTTTCTGAGATAACTTATTTGTTTTGATTTTTAAATTCAGATGTTTTTGTAGTCATATTGGGATATGAGTGAATAAAATTGTGAAGTCTAATAGAAAAGGTGTATTATGCATAGGAAAATAGAAAACTTGATATAAAGTAAGAAATCATGACTAAGGTTGAATGAAAGTTTTACATTTGACTCCTTTTTTATAGTCTTTGTATGTGGCAGTTTTTTATAAAGGTTTCTTGGGGTACCTCCACTTAATCTTCAAACCCAAATACATACGCATCTATGCATCTATAGACCAGTGATACATAACATAATTTCCACAAAATGTATTATTGGTATTAATAAGAGCATCTTCAAGTTAAATTATAAAGACATTTTAAAAAATAGATACAAGTTCATTGTGTCTTTAAGGAACATTCTTGTTTAGTTTGCTTTCATCATGCTTTAAGGTCAGATTTTACTCTGATGTTCTACAAATAGACAGAGATTGATAATCAGGAAAGAATAGTCCTTTAATGTGATTTATATCTATAGATTTTATGTCAAATATGAAAAGTTGCTGTTCAAATTGTAAAGGAGGACCCATTAAAGAATACTTTAAACCATTTTCAGTATGTAGTTTACCTGGAGATGTGACTTTTAGAATTATTCTTTTTCAAGCAAATTTTAGTAGCTTATCAAATGTTTATAAAATATAATTTGATAAAGTTGTTCTACTGCTAATAAAGGCATAGTAAGCTATTTGATAGGATCTTACTGGGAATTTTTAGTACTGTTTAATATGAAGGTATATGAGTGTGTCAGGCATACAGAAACAAATGATTTTCTAGATTCCACTAATTATTTGAATTTCAGGTAAAGGTAATGAAAGGCAAATTGTTGATATATTTGGGAATATTGAAAGATTTAACATTTGTCTCCCATTCTGCATTATTCCTTTCAGTACATAATTGCGTTGAATGTGAAGTAACCTATTAGTTGTTCTTAATTCATACACAACCTCCCCAAAATACCACATAGGAAGTAACTTTTTTTTCACAATGAAAAAATTCCCTAAACATCTTCCTTTAAAAGTACTATCCCTTCAGATATTTTAAATTTTTTTGTACATATATTTTTTTCCAAACTCTGCTCACCTTTGGCTTATTTCACATAATCATTAAAAAAATACAGCATATGCACTTGTATTTAATTAGTTAAAATCTAGCTCTGCATTGAATATTGCTTTCGTTTTCCACTTTGGTGTTTAGTTTCAATTCAGTTGATTTAATTTCAATTCAGTTTTCAAGTTCTCTCTCACACATTTCACAAAGTCTTCTAGTTGACAGATTCTTTAGCTGATATAACCCATCATTTTGCAGATAAGGACATTTGCCTAAAAAATGTGAATAAGGTAATTGTTCAAGACTGGCAGGATACATTAATGAGATAGTTCTGTTATCTGGATTTTATTTTGCCTCTGACTTTATACTAATTCATATAAACATAATGATCATGTGTGTGTGTGTGTGTGTGTGTGTGTGCGCGCGCGCGCGTGCAATTACTAGGGATTGAACACAGGGCTACCTCGAAGGCCTTAAATACTTTTTTTATTTTGAGACAGGATATTCCTAAGTTGCCCAGACTGGGCTCACAGTTGTCATTTTTCTGACTCAGCCTCCCAAAAGTGCTAGGATTAGCAGTGTGTGTGACCTTGCCTGGCTGTCACATAATTTTTAGTTAATTTGTTCTGTCTTTATCCTCCATTCCAAAATTTCTTTACTGTATTATTGTTTTTGCCTATTTTATGTGTGTGTGTCTAGCTATCACTTTTCCAGTCCCAGAAACTGATTTATGTTTTGTGCTTTTTTTTGTTTGTGGTACTGGGGATTGAACTCAGGACCATGTGCTTGTCAGACAGGTGCTTAAGCTGCTGAGTTATCTCCCCGGCTATGTTTCATGCTTTGCCTTTGCTTTAACTCCATTTGTTTTATTCTCATGTACGAATGTTTCATTTTTTTAAGCTTGGCACGGTCATTCACGTCTGCATTTGGGAGGCTGAAGGAAGAAAAACATTACAAATTTGTGTATTAAGCACAGAGACAACCTGTGCTACACAGTGAGCCTGTTTCAAAAGCACAAAACAAAACAAAAGCAAACAAGAAAGACCTACCTTCTTACTTTTCATTATTAAATTCACCCTTAGATTCCTGTTGTATATGATTACTCAGACTGAGAATTGCTTGATTTATTATGTAGGTTCATATATATATCCCATATATTTTGGGTTGCTTTTGATGTAAAGAGTGGAAAACCCAGTTCATGAGAACATGTAATGACCAAGAGTTTTTTGGGACTAGTAAATCTTTAAAACAAGACCTGTAGCAAGTCAAAAGCAGTGGTGAACCTATGGCTGGTATGCCATGGCCACTTAATGAGATAGTTCTGCTATCTGGATTTTACTTTGTCTCTGACTTTATGTTCGTTCATGTAAATATATAATTGTGTGTGTGTGCGCATGTGCACGCGTGCACGTGCGCACACAGATATTATTAGTGATTGAACATGGGTATATCCCAGCTCTTGAATAATTTTTTTATTTTGAGACATTGTGTCCTTGAAAAGCTGTTTGACACAAACATTGAAAGCTCTGAAAAGTTTGAAAAGTCTCAAAAGTTTGCCTCCACTAGTCTTAAGACAATCTGTTCTTTAGGGTTTGATTGTTCTGTAAGGTCATGATTTCATCTGGAATAAATCTATTTTTCTCTTAATTCTCACAGTTCTATTCTTTAGGTTTTGGCTTTATCTTAAAGCAAGCTTCCCCCATAGTATAGATAGAGAGAGATTTCAATACTCATAAAGTAAATATTTCACTGAGAGGAAGGAGAGAACTTTCCACTTATTGCAGCAGTTAGATCAGGTGCTGTCCCTGAGTCAGTGGTCAGTGCTGATGTGATTATTGCCCTGATAGGTTTAGGATAATCAGTGCTCTCTTGCTGCTGGGTCTAAGTTAGGGTTGTGTGTGGGAGCTATCTTTTCAAACTGGTACTGTATGCAGTAGTAGAAGCAGGCAACTACAGTATATGTCACATACTAAATAGGTAGTATTTCTGTTGACATCTAATTTAGGTTACCCATTGGAGGGTGTGTGTGTGTGTTAACATTTGGAAATTAGATCTGGGAAAGTATCAAACTTACATTCATGCAAATTTCCTCTTTTAATTAATATTTTTAACATAGTATCTGAAATATGATACCACAAATACTTGAATTCTTGAGTATTTTGGACATTAATGATTGTATTATGTTAAACTTTAATGCACATGTAGGTCACCTCAGGATCTTACTAAAATCCAAATACTATTTCATCAAGTTTGGGATGGACCTGAGATTTTGCACATTTGATCTTGCAGGTGATTTCACTGCTGTATATCTATTTTACATAGTTAGAATTCAGTTTTTTTTTCTTTCTTTCTTTCTTCCTTTCTTTTTTTTTTTTTTTTTTTTTTTTTTTTTTTGGTGGAACTGGGGATTGAACTCAGGGCCTTGCACTTACCAGGGAAGCGCTTATTCCACTGAGCCATCTCCCTGGCCCATAGTTAGAATTCAAAAGACTAAGATGCTTTAGTTTCTAAAGGTGTGGACTAGCTCATTGCACTCCTCTAAGCTACTTTTGTGTATTCTTGGTGCCATAGCAGTGACCTCATAACTTATCCTGTTCCATTATAATTCATTCTCCATAGTGACAGCCATAATGATCATTTTAATATATAAATTGGTCTATCACTCCACTACGGAAGACTTTTCATTGATATTTCCTTTCATGAGAATAAAACCTAAATTTTTCACCATAATTTTGCTGCGCCAATGACACAAAGCACCTTTATGTCTCCAAACTAATTTCATACCTTTATTAAAGCAAGTCACTGTGACTTAAGTCGTTTGCACTTTCACTCATGCTATCTTGTAATTCTAGATCCCTGCATTTATGTGACTGGCTATTCTAGGTCTGTTGTTAACTATATTTTAAGATTAACTTGAACGAAGTAAATTCTTGAGGGGTGTTGTATCAAGAAAGCCGATCAGTAAATGTTAGCCAAGTAATTTAGAGAAAGATAGGAAAGTAAAGTTTGTGTTTGTTGTATCTATACTGAAGATTATTGACTGTTGTGTTTTAAACCTCCCATATGTTACAATATTAATAAACATTTTTTTTTCTATTCAAGTCTCTGTGTGCCCAGTATTCTGCAGACAAGCGAGAAGAGGAAAAGATGTGTGATCATTTGATAAGAGCAGCTAAATATCGAGACCATGTGACAGCAACTCAGCTAATCCAGAAAATTATCAACATTCTTACAGACAAGCATGGCGCCTGGGGAAATTCCACAGTGAGGTAAAGGGATACGTGTAGGATTTGCTACCTGATTTTCTATAGATGGTCTAGCTTTAGATAATTATCTTTGAATATGCTCAGTGCTAGACAAAGACCAGAGTAATTTATTTTTGTATTTCAACATTTACTGTGAATTTAAAACAAAAGGAGAGGTTTTTATGACTGCAGTTACAGATCCTTCTAGATACGTTAGTTTCCTCAGTTGTTTGCTTAGAAAATTTACGCTTATTTATTTATTGGGAAGTGAATTGTTAAGGGTAGCAGTTAACAAAACTTTAGGTGCAATTGTAGAATTTCTACAAATGCACCATTTTACTTTTAAAATGTACTTGCTACACTTTTAAGTTTTTAGTACATATTTGAAAATGTAATGTTTTTATTGTCATTGCAAATTACAGGACTATGATGATAAAAAACATTAACTGCTTTCTCTAAAATTTTATTGATTATATATTTATCTCCTTTTAAAATACAATCTAAGAACCGGCCGAATAGTTCAGCAGATTAAAGTGCCTACTTAGGCAGACGCAGGGGCCAGGAGTTCAATCCCTGGCCTGCCATGCCAGCCCTGCCCACGGGGCGTGCTGAGATGGCTACTGAGATGGGCATGGTGGCACGCGCCTGTAATCCCAGCACCTGGGAGGCTGCAAACAGGAGGATCACTACAAGTCTGATCTATGCAGTGAGATCCTGTATACCCTGTAGACCCTGTCCTAAATACAAAATAAATAAATAAAAAATAAAATGCAATCTAACCATTCAACTCTTTTTTGCCTTAAGGTGTAAGCAATTCACAAATTGTAAAATGTGTCTCTGAAGACTTTTATGCTATAAAACTTATATTATTTGACTTTTTTACATAATGTTTTTGACAGTGTTGTATATTCTACTAGAAGAAATGTTTTCATTTCTGGATAACTTTTTCTTTAAAAGAAAACAATAAATTGGGTAAGAATAATTTGCTTACACTTATATTTAATCAACTATGTCTTGTAGACATCAAATTCTAATTCAGAAACTTTACTGTAAAACTGATTTCCATTTTTGCAAGATAAACTTTTAAACATTTTAAATTGAAAATCACCTTTAACTGATATATTTTAGGAGACATGTCCATTAGTATATATTTCATGATGTTTACTATGAAATTTACTTACATACAATGAAATATATTTCTGGGCATGCAATTTTAAGTTTCCAGTGTTGTAGGCTAATATTTAAGGGAAAAAGCAAACCAATATAAACCAAAACACCAGAAAAAAGACTGGAGCATGTTTGTTTATCTTGTTCCAGTTGTCTCAGGTGTAAGAGTGGTTATAGAATGGCATGTATTACTGGGTCAGTGATCTTTGGTACCTTCTTTTATGATGTCTGAATGCCCATGACTGTGTGTATATATTGTACTGTTAAGGGTTTTAAAATTTTGTGGTGTTTTTATGTTACAAATTTGATATCATTTTGACACTAGTACTACATATAAATTAGGATAATACTTTGATGTATAGTACCTGGCACATTGTGAGAAGTGAATTGTTTGTTGACTTTTTTTTTGAAAAGTGATTTTTTTTCCTAAAGGTAATTTTAGAAAATTTTTAAAATGAAATATCTTTAGATAAAACTTATCCTAGGTATTTCATGGGTTATTTTACTGTATTATTATTATTATTATTATTATTATTATTATTTTTAGTTGAATTGTTTTTTAGGAGAGATTTATGTTTTGGTTTTGGTGCCTAGGATGGAACCCAGGGCTTCCCGCTTGCCAGGCAAGCATTCTCTTTTTTCTTTTTTTAATAGCGTCTCAGTATGCATATTGGACTCATAGTGATCTTCCTGTTTTCAGCCTTCCAAGCACTGGGATTATAGGCACGCGCCACCATGCCTGGTCTCAATCACTATCTCTGCGCACCTCAAGGGTAGAGCTGGCATGGCACACGGGATCAGACCCTGGCCACTGCGCTGTGCCTAAGCAGACACTTTAGTCCTCTGAGCTATCTGGCTGGCCCTTTAAGCAAGCATTCTACTGCTGAGCTAAATCCCTAACCCCCACATGGGTCCTTTTTATGAGATCAGAATTCTTTCAGGTGATAACTAGACTTTTGTGTAACACAGTGTACCTGTGCTATTAGAATGCATAGATTTTTTTATATAGTAGTTTTGCTATACTAAAATATCTTGGAAAAACAAACGGACTGTGAAACATATCTAGAAATAATTATTGTTTCTATAATAGAGTTGTTCAAATGCATCACCTCTTTGTTATTCTGTACAGCGAGAAGCAATTGACATGAATTCTAAACTTTTAACATTTTTGATAATCCAGAGAAAGAAATGTTTTTTAGTTTTTTTGCTGAGTAAGAATAGCTCACATATTGTTGGCTTACATGGTGTATACTTTTAATTTAGAGAACTACACAAAGTATTAAAAAGAAAATTATTATTAATTGATTTTTTTCTCCAGAAATCTTATGTTAACCTTGTGTTAAAAATAGTATGTAAT